CGCCTTCGGGGAACAGCGGGAAAGTCATCCGTTAAAAGCGCAGGAGAGATAACGATGCCATAATGACGAAATTAATTCCACAAAAGACCCTGCAACGGAGTCGAGCCTAAGACTTCTCCTTATGAAAAAGCGCGCAGTTAAACCGAACATTGGCTCGGAGCAACGCCCCCAAAAATCTGTTGCAGTTCCTCGGAGACTGAAGGCATTTGCTAACTTCAGAGAAAGTAAGACAAGGGTAGGCTTGAGCCAGCTGTAATAAAAGGAGACTAACTTACAGGCAGCACGCGCCATTTTCTATTTTATAGCCGGCGCGCGGCAAATCCCCGGGGCGCTATGAGAAACAAGTGAAAACCCAAGAAGCGCAGCGCACACGTGACTCGAATCCAAACTAAATTAGACGGTGCTGGATACTTTCATCTATTTGGCGAAGCCCATCTACGTGCCATTACCCAGTAGAGCGTGTCGGGGAACAATGCCGCGGGTTGCCGACTTAGAGTGCTTCCGACCATCCATTTCACAGGCACATATTGCAGTGGCGGCGCGGCGCTGCGAAAGCAAGCAAACAAATAAGAGACATTTACCCAAAGCCTGGTAATTGCTACGCTCGATAGACTTGTGCGAAAGGCCAGATTGTGTCTCGCAAGCCGGCGGTGTTGGCGGGGCCGTGGCTCTGAGCGAAGGAAATTCGCTCTACCTCTTGTCTTCGTCGGAGGGAAAGGAGGGGTGGGGAGTGGGGGTGGGGGTAGGCATATGAGAAATAGGAGGGGGAGGGGGGGGGGAGTATGAGCTTGAAATAGGTAGGATTGATGGAATTACAGAAGCTAGGAAATGGATCTCACGTCACACCATCGGGTATACACAATGATTAACTTTCTTAGCTCACATCCACGCCGTCGATATCAACAAATCTACCAAAAGCACCACATTAGACCCGTGAAACACATTATTTGATGATGTCCAGGAACTTTCCCCTCCCTCCCCATCACTCTTTTTCCACAACTAAGAAAACCCAATCTGAAAACGCCTTGGTAACTCCGAGGTCACAGGTTCACACAGACTGTAGAATATTGAATCACACACATTCTAATATTACTAATTTGATCTTACATCACGCTATGATAAGCCATACTTTCCATCTTCGAACAAATAAACCAGATTAATCAGAGAGCTTGGTATAGAAGAGAGATATTTAACTACAACAACAAATATGAATTATCATGAGCAGTGTTTATATGTGAAATTGAGAAAATGGTTGAAAAAGACACGGTTGGCACGGAATGGGGAAGTAACATAGGAACATTATGCTTCTACTTGCATTACCCCTCCCCCTCCCTCCCCCCCCTACCGCAAAGACACGAGGGAGGAGAGTAAGAATCGAGTTAATTTCTCGTAAATCAGATTTTGGAAAGTCTCCATCATTTTTTTTCAAAGAATGATGTATAGCGTCAGTTTCTTTCTTTCACTCTTTCGCTCTCTTATGTTTATCTATCTATATCTTTCTAGCTCTTTATTTTCTTTTATATTTCACTCACTCTCTTTCCTCACATGTTTCTCCTTTCCTTTTTCTACGCAAAAACTGTTACTAAATCCCCCCCACCCTCTCTCTCTCTTTCTCTCTTTTTCTCTCTTCTCCTCCCCTTCCCCCCCCCTCTCTCCCTCTCTTTTTCTTCTTTCTCCTCCCTCTCCTCTCGTCTCTCTCTCTCTCTCTCTCTCTCTCTCTCTCTTCTCTCTCTCTCTCTCTCTCTCTCTCTCTCTCTCTCTCTCTCTCTCTCCTTTCGCTTCTTTCCTTCGTCTCCATCTCGTTAAAATTGTCTCTTATCACTTTTTCTCAACACTTCTGGCACTCCCAACAATCACCGGATACCCATGTCCGTAAAAAAATAAAAAAAAATCCATCAAAAACACCCCAAAAATAACTCACTGGCAACTGTCATTGTATTCCCCAAGATAAAACGTTGTCAGAGTGAGGGACATCATCACAGACATAAGAAAAACAAACAAACAAACAAACAAACACGTGGGCAGTACTTATCACGGCATTAATCATTCCTACGAAATCATTTTTGACTCGAAAAAAAGAAAAAAAGAAAAGAAAGAAAAAAATCGGAAGCTTGATCTAAAAAACGCGTATCCATTTCCAAACAAAATGCCTCGATTGGAATTATCATATTGCCATAAAAATTGCAAGAATGAAGCACCGGCCGCTGCGTCCATCGACATGATTGTATTTTGGCGCATTTTTTTTTTTTTTTTTTTTTTTTTTTTTTTGCGGCTCGATCACAGTAGATAATTCAATGTTCGTAAACCAAAAAACGGATGAAAATATACGATCGGTATTTAAAAGTCATTAGATTAATAAGTTCGCGTGTTTGGTGTGGATTAAGTTAAGTTTGTTATCTTCCTATTTGCAAATTGTGCGAATATTTTTCAGGGAAGAAATAGGGAGAATGAAAGAGGGAGAAGGAAAGGTGATGAATCAAAGAGGGAAAGATAATTGGTGTAATAGGAGAGAGGAGAGAGGGCGATAATTAAAGGTAAAAGGTTGTTGGAGATCAAAGAAAAAGACGAAAAAAAAATTAAAAGGCTGAAAAAAAAGTGGAAGAAAGACGAGAGAGAGAGAGAGAGAGAGAGAAAAAAAAGTTGTTTTCCTCGTGCTTATGCCGTCGAGCGAAATAGTTGGAATAATGACGGCTAATTAAGGTTAGATCTATCACTAATTAGTCAAAATTGTGCTTAGATTCGGGACAAAGGAGAGCGTAGGAGGGAAAAAATACCCATGTTGAAGCACGGTTCGTTATACAAGTCTATGAATATTCACGTCATAGAAACTGGGGTGCGTGGGGGGGGAGGGAGGGGGGGGAGGGAGACGAGAGAGGGGGAGAACGAGAGGGAGGGTGGGGGAGGGAGAAGGGTGGGGGGGGAGTGGAGAGGGAGGTGGGGGAGGGAGGGAAGGGAGGGGGGGGAGGAAGACGGAGGGAGGTGGGGAGGGGGAAGGAGGAGGGGGGAGGGAAGACGAGGGGGTGGGGGTGGGGAGGGAGACGAGAGGGTGGGGGGGGGGGAGAGCAACGCGGAGGGGGGGGAGGGGAACGAGAGGGGGGGGGGGGGGGGGGGAGGGAGACGGGGGGTGCGTGGAGGGTGAGAGAGGGAGGTTGGGGGGTGGGGAAGGAGACGAGAGTGGGGGGAGTGTGTAAAGCGAGGGAGGAACGTGGGGAGGAAGAAGAGGATGGGAGAGGGAGAGAGAGAGAGCGAGGGTCGAGAGAAGGAGAGGGGAGGATAAGGGAGGTAATCAGAGAGAGGAAGACGAGGGGAGAAAGAGTGGTGGGGAAGGGGATCGAGGAAGAGAGTGTGAGGCAAAGAGGGGAGACGAGGAAGAAAGTGCGCGGGGAGGGGGGAGGAAAGGAAGCAGAGGAGAGAGAGAGAGAGAAGAGAGAGAGAGAGAGAGAGAGAGAGAGAGAGAGAGACAGAGAGAGAGAGAGGAGAGAGAGAGAGAGAGAGAGAGAGAGAAGAGGAGAGAGAGAGAGAGAGAGAGAGAGAGAGAGAGAGAGAGAGAGAGAGAGAGAGAGACAGAGACAGAGACAGAGACAGAGAGAGAAAGAGAGAGAGAGAGAGAGACAGAAAGAAAAGAAAGAAAGAGGGAAAACTCGAGCGGGGGGAAAAAGTACAAGAAATGAGGGAAAGAAGACGAAAAACAAGAGTACGAGAAGAGGGAACGGAAGCTGGAAGGGAAAAGCCAAGGGAAAAGCCAGGGGACGAGCGAGGGGGCGGGGGAGGGGAGAAGGGGATGGAGAAGAAAGGAGGAAAGGAGGGGAAAGAGGGAGGGGAGAGGTGAGAGCTGAAATCGATATTAAAGTTAATCAAGAATGTGCTACGCGGATGAGCGCTGACGAGATGATTAAATCCAAGTATTTTTCATCTGGTAGACTGGCGGCGGCGCGATCCTCTTACGAGGGAGGAGGAGAGGAGGAGGAGAGGGAGGAGAGGGGGAGAGGGGAGAGGAGGTAGGAGGAGGAGAGGGGAGAGGGAGGAGGAGGAGGAGAGGAAGGAGGAGGATGAGGAGAGGAGGGAGAGGGGGAGATGAGGAGAGGGGTAGGGAAGGGGGAGGAGGGAGAAGGAGGAGAGGGGAGATAAGAGAGAAGGGTAGAGGGGTAAAGATAGAGGAGAGGAAGAGAGGTTGAGAAGGGGGAAGGGGAATATAGAAAGAAGGGGGAGAGGGGAGGAGCGATGGGGAAGAGAGAGGGGAGGGAGGAGAGGGGAGAAGGAGGAGAAGAAGAGGAAGAGGAGGAGGAGAAGGAGAGGAGAGGATAGAGAAGGAAATGGGAGAATAAGAGAGAAGGGAGAGGGGTAAAGAGAGAGGAACAGAGAGAGAGGAACAGGAGAGAGGAGTGAGATGAAGGAAGGAGGTGAGCTAAGGAGCGAGAGAAATTATGAGCATTTGCGGAACTAGTGGGAGACGAAAACGATAATTTAGAGACGGAATGAGACAGCGGGAATGAGAGAGAGAGAAGAAGAAAGGATAAGGGTAAAAGGAGAAGGTATATAAAGATATAAAATGGAGAAGGAAAATAAGGATTAGGGAAGAGAATGATGGAGAAGATGGATAATGATGATGAAAGAGATGCAGAGGGATAATGGAGTAGAATGAAGGAATTAGAGAAAAGAAAAGAGAATTAAGAGAAAAGGACTTCATTCGATCCAAGGAAAAAACAACGTGAAAGAACACTACGCCTATCGAAATTAAAAAAACAAATAAAATCCAAGCAAATGACATCGTCTCCCTTAAAAAAGGAAGAAGAAAAGAAAGGAGACAAAAAAGCAAAAACAAAACCAAAACAAAAAACAAAACAACAAAAACAAGGGTGTAAAAAACAAAATGGCAAAAAGACATAATAGAGAGAAAAAAACAAAAATAAAAAGCGTGAAGGCAAAATGACAAAGAACAGAACAAGAAGTTAAAAAAAACAAGAAACCAAGAAACCAGAAGGCGAGAAAGCAAAAAAAAAATGACAAAGAACAAGAAGTCAGACAAACCAAGAACAAGAAGGCGGAAAACCAAGAAACCAAGAACCAAGAACCCAAGAAAACCAACAAGGAGAACCAAGAAACCAAGAAGGCGAGAAGGCAAGAAACCAAGAAGGTATGAAGGCAAGAAACCAAGAAACCAAGAAGAAGAAGCAAGAGAAGCAGCAAAACCAGAAGAAGAAACCAAGCAAGAAACCAAGAAAAGAAACCAAGAAACCAAGAACCAAGAACCAAGAAGGCGAGAACCAAGAAACCAAGAAGGCAAGAAACAAGAAACAAGAAGGCAAGAAACCAAGAAACCAAGAAACCAAGAAGGCCAAGAAACAAATCCCAAGAAACCAAGAAACCAAGAACCAAGAACAAGAAGGCGAGAAAAGCAAAATGAAAAAAGACAACAGGCACAAGAAGACAGAAAACCAAGAAACCAAGAAGGCGAGAAGGCAAGAACAAGAACCAAGAACCAAGAAGGCAAGAAGCCAAAAACCAAGAAAAAGAAACCAAGAGGCAAGAAACACCAAGACAGGCAAGAAACCAAGAAGGCAAGAAACCAAGAAACCAAGAAGGCAAGAAACCAAGAAACCAAGAAGGTAAGAAACCAAGAAAGGAACCAAGCCACCACGCCCTCGGAAAACATCAATAGGACTTAAGAACAGAAGGGGGCGCCAGGGAGGGTGACTCGCCGGCAGGGAAATGAGCTTCGGGAGGCAGAGTAAGGCACACGAAGCCAACGAAAAAAAAGAAAAAAAAGAAAAAGAAAGAGAGAGAGAAAAAGAAAAAGAAAAAAAGAAAAAAAAAAACGTTGGGGACAGAGTAAGGCACACGAAGCCAACGAAAAAAAAGAAAAGAAAAAAAGAAACAAAAAAATAGCTTTGGAGGCAGAGTAAGGCACACGAAGCCAACCCCCGCCCAAAAAAAAAACCCCCCCAAAAAAAAAAAGAAAAAAAGGGAAAAAACCCAACCTCGACGGCAGTGTACAGGGTTGCACGCAAGGCATTTGAATACAGAATATGCCACGGAAGGGGTTGCGAGAGGGAGAGAAGAGGGGAGATAATAGGATACAATGAGGGAAGAGCTTCTTGGGAATGAAGAAAAAATGAGAGAAAGGGGAGGATGATTAAAAAAAAGAAAAAGAAAAAAAGAATCAAATAGATAAAAAGAAGAGAGAATCGCAGGGTATTTTACGGGCAGGGGCCAGGGGACCAGTTGAACTGTGGCATCGCGGGTCTAGTTATACTGATTTATGGGCCGAGAAGAAGTGACAGAGGCTCATTGCTCTTCGCCTTTTTGTTCCGTATTCAATGATTTAATGCGTGGGATCAGCAGAGGGGCATCGAGCGATTTATGGGCGTTCCCTGTAGGAGAGAGAGAGAGGGGCAAAAGAGAGAGAGAGGGAAGAGAGAGAGAAAGAGGGAAGAGAGAGAGAGGAGGAAGAGAGAGAGAGAGAAGAGAAGAGAGAAGGGAAGAGAGAGAGAGGGAGAGAGGAGAGAGAGAGAGAGAAGAGAGAGAGAGAGAGAGAGAGAGAGAGAGAGAGAGAGAGAGAGAGAGAGAGAGAGAGAGAGAGAGAGAGAGAGGAAGAGAGAGAGAGAGGAAGAGAGAGAGAGAGGGAGAGAGAGAGAGGAAGAGGAGAGAGAGAGGGAGAGAGAGAGAGAGAGAGAGAGAGAGAGACAGAGAGAGACAGAGAGAGAGAGAGAGAGAGAGAGAGAGAGAGGGAAGAGGGAGAGAGGAAGAGGAGAGAGGGAAGAGAGAGAGAGAGACAGAGACAGAGAGAGACAGAGAGAGAGAGGGAGAGAGAGAGAGAGAGAAGAAGAGGAGAGAGAAGAAGGAGAGAGGGAAGAGAGAGAGAGAGGGAAGAGAGAGAGAGGGAGAGAGACAGAGAGAGACCAGAGAACAGAGAGAGACAGAAGAGAGAGAGAGAGAGAGAGAGAGAGAGAGAGAGAGAGAGAGAGAGAGAGAGAGAGAGAGAGAGAGAGAGAGAGAGAGAGAGAGAGAGACAGAGAGAGAGAGAGAGAGAGAGAGAGAGAGAGAGAGAGAGAGAGAGAGAGAGAGAGAGAGAGAGAGAGAAGAGAGAGAGAGAAGAGAGAGAGAGGAGAGAGAGAGAGAGAGAGAGAGAGAGAGAGAGAGAGAGAGAGAGAGAGAGAGAGAGAGAGAAAGAAAGAAAGAAAGAAAGAAAGAAAGAAAGAAAGAAAGAAAGAGAGAGAGAGACCGAGATTGATAAAGCATCACCACTGAACCGCCGGTTATTAAATTTCCAACCGGCAATTCATACAGCACATCAATGTAAGTATTGCAGCATTACCATACGCTATTTGCAAGTACTTACACAGACCCAAAACATTAAACCTTGTTAAGCCTGCTAGGATGATATATAACGAATTCGACCATAAACTGCACACGGATTGACCTCTATCATCCATCAATGTGCAATTAAATGTATGGTAGGTCGAACGGGTATTGTTTGGTCCTGCATTCTGAATAACACGTTGAGTTTAATTGCAGGGAAATCATTTAGTTGAACAGACGATCCTCCTTAAAAAGAGTTAGGTGGGTAGTGTGAATAAGAGAATTAAAATGAGGTGAATAGTTAAAATACGATTCTCCTTAAAAGAGTTGTGGGTAGTGTGAATAAGAGAATTAAAATGCACCAACGTATCAACTGCAATTGAAACTGCTTGTTTAGTACGCAAGCAGTTTCCTGTAGCAATTGCCTTATCATCTGGGAAGTTCAATTTTCTTTTTATTATTATTATTATCAGAATTATATCAGAAACAGACTAATTCCTCGTCAGCACTGTAAAATACACCAAATGATTATTGTGTAGAAAGGTAATCATTAATCGTTGATTTTCTAATACTGGATATCATGATTTGCACAATCCTGAAGCTAAACTGAAAAAAAAACAGCTTTGAAAAAAAGTTATGAAAAAAGAGAAAAAAATAAAGTGATGAACTTAGACAGTTCATAATGATAGAACGAAAAGCAAAAAGGCATGAATACATAAAGACACATTTAAATTTTTCATAAAAGTTCAAACATATTCTACAGCAGTGAAGTAGTAGATATGATTGTTCTTTTCAGAAAATTACTTTAACTACAGGTATTATAGAATTCCGGTCACTACAGTTCTGGGAAACTATACGGCTTAATGAAACAAAAGCTTTGCAATATTGGCGAGATTACCAGAAGCAACACAGGTCTCTCAAAATACAAGCCGTGTGTGTATGTGTGGTGTGTGTATATACACATACACACACACACACACACACACACACACACACACACACACACAACACATACACACATACGCCACATACACACACAACACACACACACACACACACACACACAACACACACACAACACGCACATATATATTATATTATAAATATTATAATATATATATAATATATATATATATATTATTTAATTATTATTTGTCTACCATACATACATATATATAATATCACATACATAATATATATATATATATATATATAAATATATAATATATATCATATGTATGTATACTATATATTCTATTTATTTATTTATTTATTATTTATCTAATATATAGCACACACACAACACACGCACACACACATATGTAGACAGCAGAGCCGAGGCAGAAAAAGAGAGAGAGGGAGCCAGAGAAAGCCCGAACCGCCATTCCCACTAATGTAAATCCTCAGCTGATTATTCAATGTGTCCGTTTTTATTACCATACAAAAAAAGCCTCGTTTAGTCAAATGGGGACATCTTTTTCGGAAAATAAAGTTTTTTACGACAGTTCCATAGAGGCGGAGGGATGGTTAAGAGTAAGAGCTGGAACGGGCTGAGGTCTGATGCGATTAAAGCCCCATTTCGGTCTGCGATCTATTTAAGATTTCCTTTTTATCCTGAAATATGGCATGCAAATTTCTCTTGGCTCCCGGCGATACGTCTTAGCAAGAAAGAAGAGAAAAAAACGGGAGGAGAACGGGAGGAGGGAGAGAGGGAGAGAGAGAGAGAGGGAGGAGGGAGAAGAGGCCATGAGAGGGAGAGAGGGAGAGGGAGAGAAAGAGAAGGAAGAGATACAGAGAGAGAGAGAGAGAGAGAGAGAGAGAGAGAAGAGAGAGAGAGGGGAGAGAGAGAGTGAGAGAGAGAGAGAGAGAGAGAGAGAGAGAGAGAGAGAGAGAGAGAGAGAGAGAGAGAGAGAGAGAGAGAGAGAGAGGAGAGAGAGGAAGGGAGGAAAGGGAGGAAGGGAGAAGAGAGGGAGAGGAGAGAGAGAGAGAGAGAGAGAGAGAGAGAGAGAGAGAGAGAGAGAGAGAAGAGAGAGAGAGAGAGAGAGAGAGAGAGAGAAGAGGGAGAGAGAGAGAGATGAGAGAGAGAGAGAGAGAGAGAGAGAGAGAGAGAGAGAGAGAGAGAGAGAGAGAGAGAGAGAAGAGAGAGAAGAGGAGAGAGAGAGAGAGAGAGGAGAGGGAGGGAGAGAGGAGGGAGGGAGGGAGGGAGAGGAAGAGAGAGGGGGAAGGAAAAAGGAAATTGAAGCGACAGTGGTAAGAGCGAGTAGAGGGATGAGAAGAGGAAAAAAATAAGGAAAATACAGATAAATTGGTAGATACACGCACAGTGAGTGTGTGAATGTGCAAGAGATAGAAATAGTTTATACCAAGTGTGCGTGACAATAAATGCATAAGGACATTCAGATTAAAATAAATAAATGAATAAATATACACATAAAGATACATACATACATATTATACATTACATATATTACACACACACACTATATATATATATATGTGTGTGTGTATGTGGGTGTGATTGCAAAAACTTGGACAGCTTTTTGATTGATTGGCAAACGTTATTTTAGTCGTTCCTTATAATTCAGTTATTTTCTATTCACAAACGTAAGGACTGTCTTTAATTTTGTTCTAAAGCAAAGGGACTTTTGATGAATTATCAAACGCTTACTGAACCGTCTCCTACGATTTCAATGCTGTATTTTATTTTAAAAAAATGGCGTTGTTCGCCTTTTTTTTTCAACTGATGAATGACAATAAGACAGCAGACATGCCAATCACATTTAACATATACTAATACTGTGTAAATGTTCCCGTTCTGATATGGTAAGCCTTATTGCTCATATTTACCTTATCTTAGGCTTATTCCTAATAGCATTATGCAATAATAAGGTCTACACGATTTACTACGTTCATTCTATTAACAGCATCTTAACTTTGAGATGTGGCATGCCGCAAATCGAGACAAAAATCGCACGAAAAAGTCCTTAACCCTTTCGTGAAACCAGGACTGTGGTTTGTTTATTTTATATCCATCAATATGTTCCGTCCTTGGAATAGAAGACTGCAGAAGTTGTTTTCTACGACGCCACTGATACTTGCTCGTTCAGGGTGGGAGGGAGGGAGAGGGAGAGGGAGAGTGGAGAGGGGAGAGGGAGAGGGGAGTGGAGAGGGAGAGGGAGAGGGCACAGAGAGGGAGAGGTGATGAGGGAGAGAGAGGGAGAGGAAGAGGGAGAGGGAGATGTAGGAGGGAGATGGTGTAGAGTAGAGGGGAGAGGGAGAGGGAGAGGGGGGAGGGAGAAGGTGAGAGGGAGAGGGAGAGGGAGGTAGGGAGAGAGAGGGGAGACGGAAGAGGGCAGAGGGAGAGGGA